GGATGGATGGATGGATGGATGGATGGATGGATGGATGGATGGATGGATGGATGGATGGATGGATGGATGGATGGATGGATGGATGGATGGATGGATGCTCGAGGGTTCCCATTTTAAGGCCCTGGTGCAGCCCATCGCCGTTGGGCGTGGGGACAGAGGTTTCACGTGTGAAAGATGCGCCGTGGGCACGCACATATACTTTTTTGTTGTTATTTTTTAAAAGAAGCCGGCCGGAACAGGTATAAGAGCTGTGAACCAGCCGTGCGTTAGGATCGGTGCAGCCCATACAGGGGGGAACAGGGGAAACGCGTCGGGTGGAGAGCGCCGAGGAGGGTGGGCGAGCTGGGATGGGGGTGACCGGTCCCCACCGCTCAGAACTTGGGGGTCCGGGCTCGGCGCTCCCCAGCGCTGTCCAGCTTGGCCGGCGCCGCCGGGACTGAGCGTCGAGGTCGGGGGGGAGTGGGGGAAAAGGGGGAGACAGCAGGGGGATGCTCATGACCCTCCCCGAACCGTGGAACTCTCTCCGGGAAAGCTCGCCTTTCCTCCCTGCCCTCAGAGGAATCGCTTTGCCTGCAGGTTTTTTTGTTTGTTTTTTTATTTTGCCCCCTCCTTTCCATACTCCAGGAATTGGGATGCACTGGAGGGGGGAAACGGAGGGGAAAAGAGAGCAATCTATCCTGGTTCKCTTTCCGGGATGCTCCGCCGGCTCCCTCCGCACCGGGAGGCCCCACGGCCGCTCCCCCGGTGTGTGCGGGTGCCCCAGCACCAGGGTGGTCTCCTGCCCACCCCTCCTCCTCCTCCGAGAACGGGCGATTTCTTTGAGAGGAGGAGGACAGTGAAGAGGGGAACACAAACTTTCCTCTTCGCGCCCCCCCCCCCTCCCCCAAATTTTAAGCATTTTATGGATGTGAGGGCGAAGGGTCTCCCCGGGATTTGCCTCTTCACCCCCGCTCCACAAATTTCCTCATACCCCAAGCACATCCTGCGGGCGAGAAGGGTTTCTAACACCTGGGAAAAGTCACGTTGTGTCTTTTAACATTTTGGGGAGGGGGGGCTCAATGCGAGCTGAGATCTTTGGGCAGGTGAGCTGAGATTCCCACCCCCGCTCCCTCCGGCACTCACAGCCCCGAGACCTACAGCCTGTGTGGGATCACAGGAGGGGAATTTCCATCCAGAGGTCACGAAATTGCTAAGCCATTTCAAAACGTGCCTTTAGCCCTGTCCGGAGGTAG